CCTTTGTAGGGACATGGATGCAGCTGGAAACCATCATTCTCAGCAAACTATCACAAGAACAGAAAACCAAATACCGCATGTTCTCACTCATAGGTGGGAATTGAACAATGAGATCACTTGGACACAGGAAGGGAAGCATCACACACCGGGTCCTATAGTGGGGAAGGGGTAGTGGGGAGGGATAGCATTAGGAGATATACCTAATGTAAATGATGAGTTAATGGGTGCAGCACACCAACATGGCATATGTATATATATATGTAACAAACCTGCACGTTGTGCACATGTACCCTAGAACTTAAAGTATAATTAAAAAAAAAAAAAGAAAAAAGACAACCCTTTTCCTAGGTGAATTTATCTATGTCCTAAGCACCTGCCATCGCGAGTGGAAGTGTGAAATATACTTTAGATTGCATCCTCTTGACTAAGTGCCCTTGCACTAGGTACACGATTAAGGCAGTTAAGTGATAACTGCAAAAGCAAATGGTCAGCAAGTGACAAGGAACTCATTACATGATACTCTGAGGGCTGTGTGGTTTGGGGAAGTGTGTATGCTAGAGAAATTTATTAAATTTTATTCTATATAAAAAAAATTAGTGAGTTTTATATTATTGTGCCTGTCTCATGGCTAAAACTTTAAAATGAAATCTATATGATCTCTGCATTATGTTTACATACATCTATGTGTGTGTGTGTATATATATGTATACATATTTTTTTCTACCTCTGGATGGTACTGTCAACAGTAATTCAAAAAAGAGCACTATTTAATTGGCTTAAAGAAAAAGAAGCACTTACATAAATTAAGAATTCCCAAAACTCTCAGAAATATAGAAACTAACCCAAATGCTTTTCAAGTTCATGTGTCTCAGGTAATTCTGGTATATGATTAGTTTAATATTATTGACTTAATAAAAATAGGCATGCCTTCAGAGTTGTCAACAGTAAGTATAATGCAGACATACAACCCTTATGCTACCTGGGTTTACTAGTCAAAAAAGTATCTCTGCTACATATTTAAAATTAAAGACCTAGGAGTTAATTCCCAAATCAAACGTGCAAGTTGAAGTACAGTATCCATTATTCCATGTATATTAAGCACAGCAGGAAAAGAAAAACATGTATTTAACTTTGCTGCTTGCCTAACATGCATGTGTTGTAAAAATAGTACAGGAAAATAAGATGATGACTAGCTGTTTAATGGCTCATGAATTTTCATGAGCAATCCAAGCATAATTGTTAATAACAAGTACATTAAGTAAATATTAGTGGGATAAAATTTATAGTCTTCAATAATGATTGTTTTATGTTTGTAGAAAAAAATTAGTTACCCAAATCTTTTTGGTATAACTTAACATCCTTGGGGTTTTGCTAAGTTAAATAATAAATATTCATTGAATATCTAGATCATTTCCAAATATACTGAAACACTAACTTACGTTTCATAGACTCATGTTGCTGAATGTAAGATTATCTACCTTGGCTTCTTAATTTTTACAGAGAAACAAATCACCTGTTCTTATTGTCACATTAAAAAAACGATAAAAATATGCTTCTAGAAATCATGAAATGATAATCTACAAAATGCTGGTATATGACAGGTCATAGCTGCTTTGTAGTTTTCATAAGAAATTAATGTTACTAAGGATTAAAAGTTCTAATATACATATATTTAACACTACTAAAGATTAGAGAAACAACTTTGTATGCATAATATACAAGAAAAATAATACGTAGTTTTGGTAAGAAAAGTTATGAGGAATGAAGATGTGTTTTTGTTAAAGGAAAAAGGATAATTAAATCTGTACTAAAGTAGAATGACAGACTGTTTTAGAATGAAAAAGGAGAATGAAGAACAAAAAAATGAATGAATATAGAAAGCTTGGAGAGGGAGAGAGAAAGTCAGAATGTATGAATATCTTATGTATCTGAGCAGAAGATAAACAGAATGTATTTATTATAAGGGTTTTAAAAATGAGCCTTAATGTCAGAAGTACAGTGGAGAAAACTAGAAACTGGTTTTCTCTTTTAAAACAACAAAGCTTTCTTGGAGCACTGGTCTGCTCTTGATAAGATTAAGATTTTCTTTACTTTTAAGTTAATTTACGTAGAAAGCAAAGATTTTGTGTTTCAGTAAAATAACTTCCTGTGTTTCCTATGGTCTCTATCAGTTCTTTGATTACTTAGGGAAACTGAGTCTTCTCACTATGTGATTTTCTGTATTTGCCTTTAGAATCTACTTTGGATAACTAAGTATTGTTTCATAATGACCTGTGATCCTATTTAACCAAATGTTTTAAACTTCTTGACATTTTTGACAACTTCCCCAAATCAAATTATATATTAAATTCTTTTGACCTCAAACTAGCTTTGGGATGTTCCAGAGGGCCCTGGAAAATCTCAAAAGAATCTGTTCTTTCTCCCAGATAAATTCAAAGCAATTAGGTTTATTTGACATGATAAATTGTATGGGAATCACTGACAAAGACAATGTTTAATCTTCTTTGAGTTATTTTTGTATGGATATATCATTAACAAATGTTCCAGAAGTTGTATACAATTCCTAAAAATCTGGTATGCCTTGGTATGATGTTATCAGTAATAATTCTAGTTAATATCTTAAAATGTTGTATTGTCACAAAAATAAGTAAATTTCCATATCAAGTGCATTATAATGAACTCTCATCAGATGTTTAACCATGGCAAGTTTAAAGTCTTGTCATCCACAGAGAGTTAATTGTTTTACTCTGTTACTTTCCTAAGAGCTTTTGTAAGCAACTATAAATACGAAGTGTTTTATCTTCAGAAAGATTCATGGAAAGGACTCTGACAAGTACAGGTTTCTGATAACTTCAAGATTATAACATTTGGCCGGGTACTAATTTTTCAGAATTCTAATGAAAAGAATGATTGGTTCATAGAAGTGCTAACCCAACATCAAGCAGAACAAGAATTAATTACATGGGACTAAATAAACTGATGAAGAATTCTTTTCAGGGACTTTGTTTAAAACACTGCTGATTCTTTAATATTCTGCAAGAGAAGTTTTTCTCTTAAGCTATCCATAGCTTACAGCAATTTGGTAAATTATACTTTTGTAAACAGAATTGAAATATTTATCTTTTTTCCCTCTCTCTCTCCAGAAACCATTAGTTGAGTATTCTTATTTTCATAGCTATGTAAGTATTTGCATAAGTTCAGTAAGAATCTGTTCTCTTTAACACAACTGGAAACATCAGTTACATTACCAAGGCTTTGACTGGAATATCATATTTCAGAATGTGCATCGAATCAGATATAATCAGACAGTTTCAAAAAATACATTGACTTTCTGACGCCAATAAAGTCCCTTGGAAAAAACTGGCTTGGTACCTTATATACACGGTTTCCTTACAGATGAGTAAGAAATGTCACTTCCTGGCAAGCCCAGGAGCCTCAGAATATTTGGGGGATCTCTAGAAAATAAAAGAATTTACCTGGATCTATCGGTATCGGAGGCAAAAATCTGAGGCAAGCCTTTGGCATGCATTCCTAGCCTGGAGAAGCTAATGAAGGGCCAATCTGAGAATCCTTATGACAAGTTCCAGCAAAACAGACTTATAAAAGAGCCTATATGATTAATCACTATTCCTGCTGCACTTTTTATGCAAATAACCAAGCCAAGTTTAATGAGACTAGACTTATTTTTGCCAACAAATTGGTCTTATTGTGATTATCTCTGATAGAAATCAGGGTGACTGCAGAGAGAAAAATACTGTGCTTCATTAGAAAACTGTAACACACCCTTGTAGATATCAGATTCTAGCCTTGTTCTTTATCTCTGGGGTTTTATTATTTACATGTAATCTACTCTAGATTTCTGTCAATAATTCTCCAAACTAGTATTTCGAATTTTTCTCCTACCCTCCTGGCTTGGAATCACTAAAATATTTAACTGCCCTTTTCCTAAAATCCTAATAAGCTGAAGCTGAATAACTTGATATAAACTGCAGAGAATCACCACAACAGCTCATATATGGAAAATTTTCATGCCAATTGCTGCATGGGCCACACACTTTATAACTAGATACTCAAACTGTAAGAAATGCTTTGAGATCAACATCTAGAACTCTTGATTAGCTGCTCTTAGGATTCAGAAATTAGTATATAGACTACTCCTACCATTAACTTTTGTTTTTCTTTTGTTTCCACAGAAATGCCTCTTATTAAATCACCATATAGAGGCCTAACTTTGATGACAGCACACCTGCAATATCTCCTGAAATGAGACACAATTGCTTAATTGAATTGACCTGTTCTCAGCACTAAGACAATGATTTGATATGGGACGATGTACTTAAATTTGTTCAGTTGCACTTGTTCCAATCGATGTTTTTCTCTTCCTTTGCCAATCTCTGATCTCACAATCTCTAATCCAAATCTCTTCAAAGCTACCAACTCGGAGAGTCCTAAGCCACCATTTTGAATTACTTTGTGTTGCAGTTTCTCCCACATCGTGTGCTGCACGTGTTAATAAACTTGTTTTTCTCTTATTAATCTGTCTTTTTTTATGGGGTCTGTCTCAACTAAAAACTCATGAGGGTTGAGGAAAAAATTATTTTTCCTCCTTGACAGTACTTAACACAGAAACGGCCTTCACTATTCAATTGTCTCCTGAAGAAAACAAACAGAACACCCAAACATCTCCCATCCCATTTTCCCCACTATCCACAAAATCTCAATAGCAAATAAAATGTAGACAACTTAATGACTTAATATCTGAACTTCACCTGGGGAAAGCAGATTTTACATGAACATGCTACTAATATTTTCTTGACACGTGATACTTTCAGGTTATGTCTATTTGTACGCTTAGGTAAAAAATTTATAAATTTGAGTATGATTGAAATGCCTAAGAAACTTATTTTAGCCCAATATTTTGGCTATTTCTTACCTCTTTCTGTAGAATTTCTTCGCGAACTTGAAACTTATTTTAGCCCAATATTTTGACTATTTCTTACCTCTTTCTGTAGAATTTCTTCTCGAACTTGAGAAACTACAAGAGACTCTTGTTTACTCTGCAGCTCATTAACTTGACTTTGGAAATGTCTTATAAGTACCTAGGAAATTGTTAGAAGTGCTGAGTTAATAAAGCTCCTCCTTGAACACTATCTGAAAAATATAAGAAAGCCAACTCACAAAAGGAAACTTATATACTGTTGGTGGGAATGTACGTTAGTACAACTACTATGGAAAAAAATTATAGAGAGTTCTCAAAAAACTAAAACCAAAATTATTGTATTATCCAGCAATCCCACTACTGGGTATCTATCCAAAGGAAAAGAAATTTGTATATCAAAGGGACACCTGGCACTTGCATGTTTATTGCAGCACTATTCACAATAGTAAAGATATGGAATCAACCTAAGTTCCCATCAACAGACGAAAAGAAATGTGGCATATATACCCAATGGAATACAATTCAGCCTTAAATAAGAAGGAAATAATATAATATGTAGCAAAATGGATGGAACTGAAGGTCATTATGTTCAGTAAGCTAGGCACAGAAAAATACTGCATGTTCTCACTCACATATGAGAGCTAAAAAACTTGATCTCATGAACACAGAGAATAGAACAATAGATACCAGAGATGGGAGTGGGGGGTTGGGAAGGATGAAGAGAGGTTGGTTATGGGTACAAACATACAGTTAGATAGATGAAATAAGTTCTAATGTTTAATAGCAGACCAGAGTGGCTATACTTAGCAACAATATTATGTGTATTTCAAGGTAACTAGAAGAGAAGGTTTGAAGTGATACCAAGACATAAAAATGAATGCTCAAGGTGACAGAAATCTCAGTTACCCTGACTTGATTATTACACATTCTTTGCATGTAGCAAACATTCACATGTATCCCATAAATATCTAAATCATTATATATCAATAAAAGGGGGGAAAATAAACATGAACATTTTTCATGACTAGAAAAAGTCCTTTTAAAATAAAGCTCTAGAAAGTCTACACATTTGGAAAAAGGTAGACAACACTATCTTTATACTCTGTAGTTAAGTGTGATAGTTTTTATTTAAGAACTATTGATTAAATATAACACAAGCCTCATAATACCTGTGAAATAATATCAGTCTCATATTTTTAGGTAAACTGAAATACATGTACAGATACTTTCATTAAGAAACTAAGAGAAATTGTGAAAAATTTATCTTATCTCTAATGCTGTACTTTTAATGATCAGACTATGCTGACTTCTCTTTAACTCAATTTTACAATATTACCTTTATAACTCTGGGAAAATAACATTTATGGCACTACGGCATCATAATACTACCTTTCCCACCTCTCCCAGACTATTCCTTACTACAAAATCACTTGATAGAATGCTTACAGTTGCCTTCTGACACCCTATTCTTATGGAGGATAAGGCCAGAGAGGTTCTCTGTAAGGCTGTATGGATTGTTACTTTCGAAAGGCACTTTAAGTATTTTTCATTAATGTAGTCAAACAGTCCTTTTTTTTCTCAGGGATCTGAAGTTCAGTTACAGACTTCAATACATTTTGCCCCTAAATACTTCAAATGTCACTTTGGGAGGCCAAAGTGGGCAGATCACTTGAGGTCAGAAGTTTGAGACCACCCTGGCCAACATGGTGAAACCCCATCTCTACCAAAAATATAAAAATTAGCCAGGCATGGTGGTGCACACCTGTAATCCCAGCTACTTGGAAGGCTGAGGCAGGAGAATCGCTTGAACCTGGGAGGCAGAGGTTGCAGTGAGCTAAGACAGCCTGGGTGACACAAAGAGACTGTCTCAAACAAAACCTTCAAATGCTTCAACATACATCTCTTTAGAATAAGGGCATTTCTCACAAAACCATAACATTTTATACCTATGAAAATTTATAGTAATTTCTTAGTATCAATAGCCAGTCCATATTCAAACTTCCCCAATTGAGGAATTTATTTTTAATTAAGATGGTATTAAATAATTATACTTGGTGAGATAATTCTTTCTTGATGTTTTTCTCCCTGAGCTTCCTTCTTAAAATTGAAACCTACAGACAAGATGAACACAATAAACATTCATATATTTTTCAACTTGATAACCCAAAAGGTGGCTGATTTGCCACCTTTTCATTTTCTTGGATATACCATTTGAAAGTAGATTGTAGATAAAAGTCCTATTTTAGCTATTTTTATAAGAGACAAACAGTACAGAAGACAGGCCACAGGGTAACGCTCATAGATATTCTAAGTAGATATACCTATTATTCAAAAAGAAACACACATTTATTTGAGGAAATGCTGATGAGTTGGCAGCATTCCCTTTAATAATTCTTAGAAGACTATGCTCCATCAGAGCGAGAGCTGTGTATCTCTCTGTTCATTATTTTATTCCAGTGCCTCATTGTCTATTGACCTGAATCATTTGTTCAATAAATAAAAGATCATGGGGCAGGAAGAATATCTAAGGATAACTGTCAGCTGGGACTTAGAGACTCAGTTCAACATCCAAGTTCAAGTACAACGGTCCTAATCATGTTAGACATATACCTCACCACCTGTGACAACAAATTTAGAAAAAGACTTATTTGAGAAGTATAGGAACAAAACTGTAAAAAACATTTATATGGTATAGTTTTAAAGTAGAAAAATTAAATACACAGTATTATCTTCTTTAAAAAAATTAAACATATAATATTTTCTTCTTTAAAAAAGAAATCAGGCCAATAATAGTTTCCCATTTCTATCACCAAGATTAAAAAGTTAAAACATTTCCAAATAAAACAATGTTAACTTTAATCTCATTAAAGTCAAAACAAATTTATTCAAGTCAAAAGATAAAATAGATTTGTCATCTACCTCTTGAGTTGCTATTTTACGATTTAGTTCAGTTACTTTGGAAGAAGAATTTTCTACTGCATTTTGGCAAAGGAGTTTCTCTATTTCTCTCTGATGAGATGCTTTGAGGGATGCAACATATGCTGCAGTATCTTCCTTGACCCTACAGAGCAAATGAAAGAAAACCACACATAAAAGCGGCTCTTCAACCTCTAATTCAGACTTAGCACAAAAACAGTGTAAGAAACCTGGAAATTAAGAAAACGGAAAATGGGCACCAATATTAACTGTACTGTGTTAGGTGCTTTATACATTACTGCCTATGAGTTCTTAGGACCAATCCATGAGCTATTATTTACTGAATTTTATAAGGGCAAACTTGAGGAAATAGTGATATATCTCCACTTTATCCCCAACCTGAGGCTATACCTTCTGAGGGAATCTAGGGTTCCAAAATAACTGAATTTAAAGTAAAGCACTTGACATTTGATCTTTTAAGATAAACTCAGATTTCTTGCCCAGATGCTTCACTGGAAAATCACAGCTGTTCCCTTTAGAATCTTCAATGCCTTGTAGGCAGCATTAACCAATTTTCAATCCATGCATAAGACTCCAGGGCTAGTTGCATGTTGTGAGAATGAGCCAATCTTTATGGTAATTCTCAGGACATATTATGCTTGAAATATGCAATTAAGTAATTTGGACTGTAACTGTGAGAGACTATTCATTTGTCTCTGTGATAAAATTTATTCAGAGGCAGTTCAGTAAATGGTTAAAATTATAAATAAAGATTTGATACACTTTCTACAGATAAACATTTTCTCTCTTACTGGAAAGACTTTGAAAATAACAGGATTTAACTTAAAGCATGTATTTTAGAGAACTGCTATATTAATATGGTGCTTTCCAACTACAGACAAATTTAACCATTGCTTATTTCACCATATGAATATTTCTCCATGGAAACAGTGTGATTAGGGTCCTAGGAAAAGAATAAAAACCTAAATTAAAGCACATATAACTGAATGATAGTAAAAAGTCGAAATATGGGGCTAGAAAAGTTTATTCTTCACTTCTCAGGTCCAGACTTATCTAAGAAACAGATTGACAATATTAACAAATTTTATATGATGTACAGGAAAATTTATAGGAAAACCTGAATTTTAAATTCTTTCCTGGAAAGAATGTGGTTCTTATTAAACAGTTTCATGCTACTATCATAATATTCAGGACTTAAGAAACAAAGTTTCCATTTGGTAGCAATATGACTGCCATATGGTAACAACATGACTCACTCACTGCCATAGCTGCCAGTCAATAAGCATTTGTTGGGTGTTTCCCATGCTCCTTCTGCTCCTACAGCACACTGCTGTGGGGATGCAAAGAAGCATAATCTTACAGCAGTTCTTAAGGAACTACAAGGCTGGGTATGATTAATCCTTTCTTGGTACATATTAGTAAGTTTTGTAGGAGTTAGGGGTAGGAGAAGGCAATTTCCTGGGAAGTTCCATGAAATGTTATGTGAAGGTAGTACTTATAACAAGAATGAGCAAAAGGCATGAGGAAATGTGACAGATTAGGTAAGTACAGTAGTATTAGAATAGTGATGAGACTTGAGATGCCAGGCAGAGAAATTTAGTCTTGATATTTAAGGAAGTTGGGAGTCACTGGAGAGCAGAATGACCCAGGTGTATGAGTATTTAAAGAATATGAATGATTTTTAAGCAAGATGACTGGGGAAGGTTAAAAAAAAGAAGGAAGATTGGAGTGGGAAAATTGTATAATGGTAGCACTGGTTTATTAAAGTAAGGAAGAATGGAAAACGGGAAACATTTATACCCAAGGAATAACAGAGATAAAGCTGGCCTGGTAATTAAAATAAATATAGACAGGGAAGGGGAGCTTGGGAAGAGGAACTAATTTACAGCTAAAAAAAGGAAACTTGAGGTATTGGTGATTCCAAGAGAAGCAATCCAATAAATAGTTCCAGGTTTCACATCTGAACTCAGCAAAGAGAACAAACTTTAAAAGTAAATCTAGAAGTCATGGTTCATAGAAACCATAAGAATGGGTAAGTTTAGCAATGGAGAAAGAACAGAGAATGAACAGAAAACCAAGAGCTCAATGCTGGTAGAAAGCCAGATTTTTGGGGCTGGAGAAGGAAGAAGGGTCAGAATTCAGAAAAAGAAACAGAAAAGGAGTTTTGGTCAGAACTGCCAAGTCACAGAGGTTAAGGGAGGAAGGCATTTCAGGAGAAGTAGTGTGGTCAACACTGTTGAAGAAAATGAGGATGGAGAAAATGCCACTGGCCTGGGAAAGGTCATTATTGAGACCAGGTTTAAAAGGGGTGATGATGAAAGCCATATTTAAGAGGAAGTGAGATAGAAATAAAAGACTACTTGTGAAAAACGGGTACTGAAAGACGGGATTGGAATTTGATCAGGTGAAAAAAGATCTGAGGATGTCAAAAGACTCAGAGGAAAGAGACAGTGGATAGCAAATGGAGATTGTGAGAAGGAAATGCATGAGTATAAAGTTCCTTAAGGCATGAATGGATGTGATCACAAGGTCAATTTGAAAAGTGATTTTTGAAAAGAGGACCTTTTCCTTTTAGACTGCCAACTAGCTTTAACAATAACTGTTTTCTGAAAGCAATCTGCCTATAGCAATAATGAACTATGACATTCCTTTGCTAGAAGAGCCCAGTGAGTCAGCTTATTAATATCATATGGGTACACGCCAAAAGGCAAGACTGGCGAGCCCAAGGACACAATTTGGGTTGACACAGAGGTTCAGGTACATCAGAATTTGGGCCACCAGCAGGTAGAAGACCCTATCCTGAAACAGATATATGCTCAGCAATGTAATATAATTTATTAATATTCACTTATGAATTCAGTTCTGGGTCAAACTAATTATCTGGAGGAAATATATCTTATAATTTTTCAATTTTTATCTTTTTATTTTTACAAATATTTATAATTTACCATTTTACCTTCTCATGGAGTTTTCAAATTGATTGATTGCTGCTTCAGATTTCACCTTCAGCTCATTCTTCTCTGAAATTAATCCCTCTAGCTCATTTTTTAATCTGTAGTTTTCTTGTAAAACTTCTGAAACATGGGAATCAGTGAAAGTATGTGGTTGGTAAAGCTTGCTGTCCAGGGTTCCAGAGAAGGAGTTAGCATTCCCTTTACTTGAGTGCAAAACATCTTTCTTTGCCCTTTTGGCAGACATTTCCTCTCTGCCCTTAGAGTTCTGATTTGATAGCATCATTCTTCTTTCTTTCTGAAGCCTCTCCACAGTTTTTGAAAGGTCTTGTATTTCTCTCTTTTTTGCAGCCAGTTCTTCATTGAGTCTTACTAATTTAGCTTTAGCATGAGCCTGTTCCACCTGGAATTCTATAGACTGAAAATCTTTATCATCTTTATCATTTTTCTTGACGTCTAATTCAGCATTCTGATGTTTAAGAATGTCTATTTCGGCTTCAAGGTTTCTTACAGTGATTTGATGGGCTTCCTTAATGTCATCAAGTTCCTTCTCTAGTGCTTTAATTCTGGGAGAGTCATGTTGATTCAATTTGCAGGCAAGTAGCTGCTCCTGCTGCTCTAGTCTTTGTTCATACTGAATCTGAACGAAAGAATCCATGTAATGCCAAACACCTGTTAAACGTTTCATTAGTTGCTGAAGCCCTGCACACTACTGGGTTCTACCTAATCCTTTATTCAGGTACTCATCATACATTCTGATGTCTACAATTCTGTTTCTTGAGTGAGTCAAAGGTATTGAAGTCCTATTCTTTCAGGGCATAACATTATGTATTCTTGACATATGTTATGTAATTTAATAATTGATATGTTGCTTCATAAACATTAACTTACCTATGTTCTTACACACTGCAAAATTTATTTTAAACCTCACAACAAAACCTATTATTATGCAGCCTTTTCCATGCAAACTGTCAGCACACTCTTTGAGGATAAACAGTAAAACAACTGGGGACACTGAAGTCTTTGGGAAGCAGCACATTTTCAACTTTCTAACATCAATTTATTAATTTCATAGAGAGTAAAATGGCCTGGAATTTGTATACTGGAGCTTTAATATTTTGTTTAGTGTTCAGCAAATGAAATAAATAATTTCTCCTACAGAGGGAGGCACCAGCAGTGTTTGCTCATTCATTCAACGGATATTTACCGAGCTATGACCTTATGCCAGGCAATATGCAGGTTCTAGCAACAAAAAGACTCAGTTCTTATTTTCAAATAGCTCACAGCTTGGTGAGGAGAGCAACATGGCAGCAGCTACAATGTCCCATAAGTGCAATAATGGGCCTGTGAACATAGTGCAGTGAGTGTAGAGGAGGCGAGGCTGCCCAAGTGTCTGGAGGCTTGACAGAAGGTGGGAAGACTACACAGAGACAGCACATTTATGTTCGGTCTTGAGAGATGAGTGTTAATTTGGGGTTAGGTGGACTCAGGGATGTTTTGGAAGTAGGAAGAGCATATGCAAAGCTGGTCGAATGCTTGGTATATACAGGGAATCAGAAACGAAAGGGGGAAGAGGCAAGTAGTGAGCAAAGGCAGGAGTGGGATGGGGCAGGCGGCTGCAAAAAGAAAGAGTGTTTAGATTTGGATATATAAAAGTGGAGTAGGGGGTTGGAGTTTATACCTGAGAGTCTTATTTGGTTGGTGGAACACTAATAATAATTATAATCATTAATTGTTTGCTAGACTCCATGCTGGTAATTGATACCAGCATGTTATCAGGGATCTGTCATTAATTGTTTGCTAGACTCCATGCTGGTAATTGATACCAGCATGTTATCAGGGATCTGTATCTCTATATCTCTATAGCTATCTCTCTATCTCTCTATCTATCTATCTATCTATCTATCTATCTATCTATCAATCTATCTACCTACCTACCTACCTACCTATCTACCTACCTACCTACCTATCCATCCATCCGTCTATCTATCTATGTGTAAAAGAGGGTGGAATGGAAGAAACCCAACCTCCTTGATGTGACCTTAATTACCAGGCCACTGTATTATTTCCCGGTTATCAACCTTCTACTGTTTCTGGAATCTAATGTTCTTTCATTTGTCGCTTTTCTCAGGATATAAATCTGTGGAGAATTGAGATGAACTTCCTAGAACATCTCAGCTCCCTCATCTGCAATATAGTGTTAACAATATCTACTCCTCACAGGTGTTTGGAAGGATTATGCGAGATGAACAGGGATATTTATGAAAGTATCTAGCATGAATTCCTGACAGAAACCATGTGCTCAACAAATTTTTAAAAATAATCTATAACTGTTATTGGTCTACAAAATGTTTTTTTAAAGTAAATTAAATATGTCCTCTTTCATACTTGGTCTGTTCTAGCATTTGTATTTTCTGATTCATTCCTGTTTCACAAAATAATGGAAAACTCAGAAAGTAAGACATTTCTGGAAGATGCTCCCTACCCGCTGTTCCTAAAGTGCAGACTTCTGTCTTATTCCCTTACCCTTCTCTAGATAAATTTCAGTGAAAATATTTTCAAACATGGTAATTTCTTTTTTCCTTTTGTACTGAATACATATCAGGTGTGTTTTATTCTGCTTTTTCATGACTTAATTTCCACTAATTCTCATATTGAGAGAGGTGATGTAAAGATTATCTTGTGCTTGATTATTCTGTCAGAAATAAAAAGAAAAGTTGCTGAAAGAGGACACCAAAATAGGATGGACTTGGTTTCTTTTGCACCTATTGATACCAGTGGTAAAGGTTTCATGGGGAAGAATGTTTATAGCTATTTGTTAAAGTGAGATCCTAAGAAATGCCAGCCCCCACTGTCCATCTCTGACCTTAATTTATCTCTGAGGCTACTTAGCACTTACCTTCATTTTCTGAAACTGCTGTTCCATGGTACGAAGGCTTTTCTTTGCTTCTTCATCTTTGCCCTCCAGATCAGCTTCTAGCTTTTTTATCCTTTTCTCCATAAATTCTACTGTATTTTTATCCACTGTATCACCAGCTGCTGATGCAGCCAATATTAATGCAGGTAAAGAATTGGGATATCTTCTCTTCAGAATCCCTTCCATTTCCTTAACCTATTAAGACATATTTTCCACCAAAAAACTCTTAGATTTAATAAATGAAGTCAGTAAAGTTTCAGGACGCAATCTACAGAAATCAGTAGCATTTCTATATGCCAAAAACAACCTCGCTGAGGACCAAGTCAAGAACTACCTAGGAATACATTTAACCAAGAAGGTGAAGGATGTGTACCAGGAGAACTACAAAACACTGATAAAGAAAACTGTGACACAAACAAATGGAAAAACATCCCACGTGCATAGACTGGAAGGATCAGTATAGTTAAAAAGACCATACTGCCTAAAGCTATCTACAAGTCCAATTCAATTCCTATCAAATTACCAAAGTCATTTTTTACAGAATTAGAAAAACCAACCCTATAATTCATATGGAACCAAAAAAGATGCCGAACAGCCAAAGCAGTCCTAAGCAAAAAGAACAAAGCTGGAGGTATCACATTACCTGGCAAATTGTACTACAAGGCTATAGCAGCCAAAACAGCATGGTACTGATAAAAATAGACACATAGATCAATGTAACAGAATACAGAACCCAGAAATTAAGCCACATGCCTACAATCAACTGATCTTGGACAAAGTCAACAAAAATATACACTAGGGAAAGGACACCCTATTCAATAAACGGTGCTGGGAAAAATGGACTGTCATGTGCAAAAGAATGAAACTGAACTCATATCTCTCACCTTATACAAAAATAAACTCAAGATGCATTAAAGATCTAAGACCTGAAACTATAAAAATCCTAGAAAAATTTCTAAGAAAAACTCTTCTGAACACTGGCCCAGGAAAGAATTTATGACCAAGTCCCCAAAAGCAAATGCAACAAAACCAAAAATAAACAAACGGGACTGAAATAATCCCATTAAAAAGTGGGCAAAGGAAATGAACACACATTTTTCAAAAGACATACAAGTGGCCAAAAAATATGAAAAAATGTTCAACATCACTAATCACCAAATAAATGCAAATTAAAACCACAATGAGGTACCGTCTTACACCAGTCATAAGGGTTATTAGAAAACTAATAAACAGCAGATGTTAGTGAGGATGTGGAGAAAAGGGAACACTTGTATACTGTCGGTGGGAGTATAAATTAGTAAAATCATTATGGAAAACAGTATGGACATTTCTCAAGACCTAAAAAGAGAACCATTTCATCCAGCAATTCCACTACTAGGATTGAAAGGAAAATAAATCGTATCAAAAAGACACACACACACACACACAAACAAACACACACTATTCATCCACAGAAGAGAATAAAAGCATGTTTTCAAGCAACGTGGACGGAACTGGAGGCCATTATCCCAAGTGAAATAACTCAGAAACAGAAAGTAAAACTCCACATGTTCTCACCTATAAGTGGGAGCTAAACAATGAGTACATATGTATATACAGACTGGAATAACAGACACTGGAGACTATAAAAGGTGGCAGGGTGGGAGGCAGTGAGGGCTAAAAAATTACCTACCAGGTACAGCGTTCATTATTTGCGTAGTGGCTACCCTAAAAGGCCAGACTTTACCACTATGCAATATATGCCTGTAAGAAATCTGCACTTCTACCCCCTAAATCTATAAAAATAAAACAGTAAAAATTTTGAAACATATATAAGGTCACAAATACATGTAAAATAAAGCAATTTAATGCATAAACTTAGATTATGCTACACTTGTCAAGATTTCAGAGATATTTATAGCATGTCTCCAGATTGAATCAAATGCACAGAAGCACAAATTAATTTCAAATTTTACATCTCTAGATTATCTGATAAGAAAATCTTAAAGTATATTGTCTAATTACCTATTGGTTTATTTACAGAAATCCTCTTACATTCATTAGAAATATATCTTCAGGGCTGGGTATGATGGCTCATGCCTGTAATCCCAGCACTTTGGGAGGCCAAGGCAGGTGGATCACTCGAGGTCAGGAGTTCCAGACCAGCCATGGCCAACAGGGTGACACCCTGTCTCTACTAAAAAAATATAAAAATTAGCCGGGCATGGTGGTACACACCTGTGGTCCTAGCTACTCAGGAGGCTGAAGTGGGAGAACTGCTTGAACCCAGGAGGCAGATGGTTGCAGCGAGCCAGGATTGCGCCACTGCCCTCCAGCCTGAGTGAAGAGTGAGACACTACCTCAAAAAAAAAAAAATATATATATATATATACACACACACACACATATATATGTCTTCAGACTTTCAATTAGTAATAACCAGTCCTCTTGAGCACAAAGCTCTCCTGTTCTTTTCTCCAGACTCCTTCATATGATAGTGCTTCTACACTGTACTGATTGAAAAATTACTTATATGCACATGAGTGTGTAAACATTTTGCAATAAACATTCAGCTTCCTAAGCCCCTGACTCTGCCTAAAGCTCTACTCCACCCCAATCTCCTGGTCCAAATAAAGTTTAATCTACTTTAAAATAATTTCTTTTAATTGGAAAGCAAGGAGGACTAGATAACATTTAACGAAGTCTTCATAAAGGACTGGATACTTTTCATTTAATCTAAAAAACAATGGCATATTATATAATGAAAGAAACACATTAGGGTCCACAGAAATGACAGCTTATTATATGTGCCTGTCTATATACATGCTTTTAAAAACTATTATGGTGAAGACATTGTTGCAAAACACACAAACACTGAATTCTTTGTTGAACTGTTTTCCAGCCTATGAGCATGCAACAAAATAGCACCTGAGAGGCAGTCTAGTGTCAGTTAAGAGCATATTTGGGTTAGACTGTGCCACCAGCTTTAGGACCCTGTGTCAACTAATCCCTCAATTTAAATTTCTCTTGCCTCGTGGGTAAGATGGGGATGGTAACAGTAGCAATTTCAAAGGGTTGATATAATTGAGGATCAAATGACTTTCATCCTGGTAAGCACTGAGAGTGTACAGCACATAATAGTGAGGGCTTGGTAAGTGTTGGCTTTTATGATGATTTCATCTCCTAAGGTAAGATGGTTTGCTGGTGTTCAAAATCCTGTTCATATTAGGTATCTAAGTGGCATATGATTTGCAAAGTTAATATAAATATTTCCATTTGTGAAAATGCTTACACATTTATTGATATATCATAAATTGGGATATATCCATCTACAAATATTAGTAATTCCTTTCACCTGAAAAATTCAAAGCTTTGTTTCCTCTGATATCAGTTAATTGAGTTAGTTGTAGGTATACGAAAATACATGTATACATACCAACACTACATATCTTAAAAGGAGAACTAGATTTTATAAATTTAACATTTTAAATTAATGTATTTATTTAAAAACTTAAAAATATTTTCAATCTGATTTTGATATCTTGAAATATATACTATTTTTTGGGAAAAATGAGATTTTATTTGTATTTTCTTTAATTTTGCTTTTTAATGTTAATCTTTGGTCAAAAATATCAGTTTGACTGGTATACAAAGTAAACTTTTTTTTAACTCTCATTGCAAGTTAAACCATGAAATATTCCATTAAATAAAAAAAAGTACAAACACAATCTAAAATTTTCATTACAATATACATCTAATTAGCCCCATTTTTACTTATATTCTATTTAAAAATAGATAATTTATAATTAGTCTATTTAAGAATATTGTGAGGGGCACCGAAGATGGCCGAATAGGAACAGCTCCAGCCTGCAGCTCTCAGTGTGAGCGACACAGAAGACCGGTGACTTCTGCATTTTCAACTGAGGCACTGGGTTCATCTCACTGGGGCATGTCGGACAGTCAGTGCTGGTCAGAGGGTGCAGCCCGACCAGCGAGAGGAGAAGCAGGGTGAGGCATCGCCTCACCTGGGAAGTGCAAGGGGTAAGGGAATTCCTTTTCCTAGCCAAGGGAAACTGAGACACACAACACCTGGAAAATCGGGTAACTCCCACCCTAATACTGCACTTTACTAGGGTCTTAGCAAATGGCACACCAGGAGATTATATCCTATACCTGGCCCAGAGGGTCCCACGCCCACGGAGACTCCCTCAATGCTAGCACAGCAGTCTGAGATCTAACTGCAAGGCGGCAACGAGGCTGGGGGAGGGGCGCCCACCATTGCTGAGGCTTAAGTAGATAAACAAAGCCGCAGGGAAGCTCGAATTGGGTGGAGCCCACCGCAGCTCAAGGAGGCCTGCCTGCCTCTGTTGACTCCACCTCTGGGGACAGGACATAGCTAAACAAAAAGCAGCAGAAACCTCTGCAGATGTAAATGTCCCTGTCTGACAGCTGGGAAGAGAGCAGTGGTTCTCCCAGCATGGAGGTTGAGATCTGAGAACGGACAGTCAGTGGGTCCCTGACCCAAGTAGCCTAACTGGGAGACATCCCCCAGTAGGTGGAGACCAACACCACACATCACACGGCTGGGTATACGTCTGAGACAAAGCTTCCAGAGCAAGAAACAGACAGCAACACTTGCTGTTCAGCAATATTCTATCTTCTGCAGCCTCCACTGCTGATACCCAGGTAAACAGGGTCCGGAGTGGACCTCAAGCAAACTCCAAAAGACCTGCAGTTGAGGGTCCTGACTGTTAGAAGGAAAACCAACAAACAGAAAGGACACTCACACCAAAACCCCATCAGTACGTCACCATCATCAAAGACAACAGATAAAACCACAAAGATGGGGAAAAAGCAGTGCAGAAAAGCTGGAAATTCAAAAAATCAGAGCACATCTCCCTCTCCAAAGGAACGCAGCTCATCGCCAGCAATGGAACAAAGCTGGATGGAGAATGACTTTGACGAGTTGAGAGAAGAAGGCTTCAGTCGATCAAAATTCTAAGAGCTAAAGGAGGAACTATGTACCCAGCACAAAGAACCTAAAACCCTAAAAAAAGAATGGATGAATGGATAACCAGAATAATCAATGCAGAGAGGACCATAAAAGAACTCACAGAGTTGAAAACCATGACACGAGAACTATGTGACAAATGCACAAGCTATAGTAACCTACTCTATCAACCGGAAGAAAGAGTATCAGTGATAGAAGATCAAAT